TAGGGCTTACTCTGTTTTCTATCCTTTCCTATTCTTTCTATTGGCGTTGTTGTTGCGGTTAGTCTGCTCTCTCGTGCTCGCCGGCAAGGAGAGTCGAAGAAAGGTAGGTGGCGTGTAGAAAGAAAGATAAGCGGGTTGGTTCTCACGGCTGCTCTCAGCACTGTTGTTCTCAGTATAGGCAAAGAGAAGCTTGTAAGTCCAAAGGTCAGGTGGCTCTCCCAATTAAACAACTTCGTTTGTTTAATATTGTTGTGCACTTTATGTTGATGATTTGCACTTGGAAGATGTTGCGGCAACACTGAACTTTGTGTGGTTTAATTTATGTTAATTATTGTTGAGTTTCTTGGCAGATTTTGATTTTTATGACAGAGGTAACAAAATAAACGTCTGCTCTCTGTGAGATTACATATCCATTATGTCCGATTTTTACAAAATTAAAATCGAAAGTCTAAAATAATATAACTTGGCCATATCTCAAAAAATAGTGCAAAAATGTTGAAAAACAAGCTCAGAGAAGCCAGGTTCGGAAATTTTTTTTTGTTCGAAATTTGAAAGCTGGAATCGTTTGCCCATGTTTGCCCACCAATTAGTTTTTTTGCCCACGTCCAGTTTTGAAGATATGAAAATTCGAAAAAGTTTGAAAATTTTCAAACTTAAAAAATTTGACTCTTTTCAAAATTTTTTTTTGGAAATCGCAATAACTTCGTTTGCCCACGTTTGCCCACCCTTTAGAATTTTGAAATTTTTTAAACTTTAGGAGATATAACACTTTAAAAATTTGGTCCGTTTTACCAAAAAAACCGAAAACTGAATATTATTAAAAAAAAAACCATTTGCCCACCCCTTAAAAATTAATTTAAACGATTGCCCATCTTTTAAAAATTAATTTAAACGATTGCACATCTCCTAAAAATTAATTCTAACGATTGCCCTTTAAAAACTAATTTTGTCGATTGCCCATCTTTTAAAAACAAATTTAAAGGATTGACCATCCTTTAAAAACTAATTTTGTCGATTGCCCATCCTTTAAAAATTAATTTTTTCGATTGCCCATCTTTTTTATACCCTTGCAGGGTATTATAATTTCAGTCAAAAGTTTGCAACGCAGTGAAGCAGACCTTTCCGACCCTATAAAGTGTATATATTCATGATCAGTATCAACAGCCGAGTCGATTTAGCCATGTCCGTCTGTGCGTCCGTCCGTCTGTCTGTTTCTCCGCAAACTAGTCCCTCAGTTTTAAAGCTATCTGAATAAAACTTTGCATATAGTCTTCTATATACTCTCACTGCTATATATGTCGGAACGGGCCGGATTGGACGACTATATCATATAGCTGCCATACAAATGTTCGATAAATTTTTAGAAAAAAAATTATAACTTGGCTGTTTTTCGAAATGTTTGCATAATTTTTGGGATATGGCCATTTTATATTATTCCAGAATTTTGGTAAACATTTTATGAAAATCGGACGACTATATCTTATAGCTGCCATAGGAACGATCGAAAAATAAATAGGAATAAAATGATAACTTCGTTGTTTTTCAACATATTCTTATATACTTTTAGAAATGAGCTTCTTTTATTATTTGTGCGTCACATTTTGATTTGCTGGTAAACTAATAACTTAACAAGATTTAGCGCGGTTACTAGGTACGTGTTTTATTGCAAGTTTATGGCGAATTTTCTTTAGAGCTAAAAGAATTTCCTAACTGCACAGTCATCCTGATATACTCACATTTTTTGTATAGACTGACAGGTTAAGGCAATCTTCTAGTTCAGCATCAGACAACTGGTCATCCAGATTGGTTATCACAGGGCAACGTTGTCCAAAGTTCAATGCGCTGATGGTGTTTGTCCAAGGGGATCGCGCCACAGGTGGCTATCATCGCCCAGAATAGAGAATAGAATGCTTTTTTAACCCGTCATAGGCCCACTTATCAGCTAAGACGACGTAGTTCACAAGAGTCATTAAGGCTTACAGATATAGCAATAAAATTTAATTCCCCAGATTACTTTATATAATTCGTATTCGATTGATACACTTTTAATTTTAGCTAAATATGCCGGTTTGAAATGAGCTATGATTGTCTCTCCAATATTTGCTTGTCAAAATTATTTCTGTATTTCACCAGATACTACTAAAATAGAACCCCTATTATATTTGTTTCTCATAAAACACACCCACGTAAATTAATCTGACATTTTTCTGTTGTCTGGGGAGTTGAGATATTTCGGGACTGAACATCGAACTGCCGGAAATTGACTTACCTGGAAACGCAGTTCCTCTACTGGCGGCTCGGCATAGGGAATGCCTCTGAATTGCATAGAGATCTGATCTGTCCAAGCGGTTCTCCCGAAATTTCCGAGAACTTTTCCCTGGCTGTTTAATAAATCCACAGTCACCGTTTGTGTAACCGCATCTGCCCCGCCGTAGTTGCCGGTGAGAGATCACCAGCACAGCGGTCAGTGCTGCAGTCAGCACACCGCAGAGCGTCAACATAACGTATACGCCGCGTCTACGCATAACACTGGACTGATTTCGACTTTGAACGAAAGCGGGAACCAAATGATTGCTGAACGAATGGTAGGCATGATTGAGGAAACGTGACAAAAACGAAATACGCTTCTTTGGTTGGGTAATACAGTGATGGACAGAAAAATATAAATAGGAAATAGAATAACGTTAGTAACTTAGAAAAAAGTAATCGGCTATGGGTTTTAAAATTATTTACAAACAGGAAAGGAAGCTAACTTAGGCACGCCAAAGTTTGAATACCCTTGAGGTTTGCAATTGGATCATTAAGATTAGATCCATTCTGGTTAAATTAATAGAAAAAAAATAAAAGGAAATATATAATTTGGTTTTGATAAAAATAAAAAAAGCATGTTTAATCTATAAAAAAACTAGTTTTAGATTTAAATATCTAATATAATAAACATTATAAATTTAAATGTTGAAAAACACAAAACAAAGTTGCATTACATTGGTAAAAATGTTATGAAAATCGGACAACTATATCATACAGCTGCCATATAAACGATCGGTAAATGTAGAGAAAATGCAAAGCTGGGAATGTAAAACTGTAACTGTCAAACTGTAAACATAATAAGTATAGGTAAAATGTAATGAAACTCACTTTTGTGTGTGTTTTCAACATTTAAATTTATAATATAAATATCAAACCAATCTGCAAGGGTATACAAACTTCGGTGTGCCGAAGTTAGCTTCCTTTCTTGTTTTAAAATCAATTTTTTCGATTGCCCATCCCTAAAAACTTAATTTTAACAATTGCTTATCCTTTAAAACTTAATTTTAAGGATTGCCCATCTTTTAAAAATTAATTTTTTCGATTGCCCATCTTTTAAAATTTAATTTTTTCGATCCTTTAAAACTTAATTTTTTCGATTGTCCATCTTTTAAATCCTCAAAATTAATTTTTAAAAGATGGGCAATGGAAAAAATTAAGTTTTAAAAAGATGGGCAATCGAAAAAATTAAGTTTTAAAGGATAGGCAATCGAAAAAATTAAGTTATAAAGGATGGGCAATCGTTTAAATTGATTTTTAAATGAATGGCAATCGTTTAAATTGATTTTTAAGGGGTGGGCAATCCTCAAAATTAATTTTTAAAAGATGGGCAATCGAAAAATTAAGTTTTAAAAGATGGGCAATCGAAAAAATTAATTTTTAAAAGATGGGCAATACTTAAATTTAAGTTTTAAAGGATGAGCAATTGTTAAAATTAAGTTTTTAGGGGTGGGCAATCGAAAAAATTCATTTTAAAAAGATGGTCAATCGAAAAAATTAATTTTTAAAGGATGGGCAATCGACAAAATTAGTTTTTAAAGGATGGTCAATCCTTTAAATTTGTTTTTAAAAGATGGGCAATCGACAAAATTAGTTTTTAAAGGAAAATCGTTAGAATTAATTTTTAGGAGATGTGCAATCGTTTAAATTAATTTTTAAAAGATGGGCAATCGTTTAAATTAATTTTTAAGGGGTGGGCAAACGGTTTTTTTTAATAATATTCAGTTTTCGGAGGTGGGCAATGCATTATTTCTTTGGTAAAACGGACCAAATATTTAAAGTGTTATATCTCCTAAAGTTTAAAAAATTTCAAAATTCTTAAGGGTGGGCAAACGAAGTTATTGCGATTTCCAAAAAAAATTTTGAAAAAAGTCAAATTTTTTAAGTTCGAAAATTTTCAAATTTTTTCGAATTTTTATATCTTCAAAACTGGACGTGGGCAAACAAAACTAATTGGTGGGCACACATGGGCAAACGATTCCAGCTTTCAAATTTCGAAAAAAAAAAATTTTCCAAACCTGGCTTCTCTGAGCTTGAAAAACAACCAAGTTAAAATTTTTTTCTAAAATTTTTTTTAACATTTGTATGGCAGCTATATGAGAGTATACCTTTTGCAAGAAGACTATATGCAAAATTTCATTGAGATAGCTTAAAACTGAGGGACTAGTTTGCGTAGAAACGGACAGACGGACATGGCTGCTGTTGATGCTGATTAAGAATATATATACTTTATAGGGTCAGAAAAGTCTCCTTCACTGAGTTGCAAACTTCTGACTGAAATTATAATACCCTGCAGGGATATAAAAACTGCGAGCCTATACTTCCTTGTCTATACATTTTCCGATCGTTTCTATGGCAGCTATATAATATTGCCATCCGATCCAGACGTATATACAAGTGAGAACAGTCCGAAGACTATTTGTAAAGTTTCATTTAGATAGCTTAAAAACTAAGGAAACGGACAGACGGACATAGCTAGATCGATTTGACTGTTGATGCTGATCAATAATATATATGCTTTATATAGTCGGAAATGACTCCTGCACTGCGTTGCAAACTTCTGACTAAAATAATAATATCCGTAAATATCCTGAAAGGATATAGAAATTATTCTTACTATATGCCAAAATGTCAGACTTATAATCAATAGATTATTCCAAATGTACATTTATTCTATGTTATTACAATTCCAGGTGGCATGGATTAAATCTGATTCAAAAGCAATACTTGGCATACACACACATATGGTCTCACTAAATCCAAGATTATCTGTGACACACAACGGCCACAACACCTGGAAACTTCACATATCTCGTGTACAAATAAATGACTCCGGCAGTTACATGTGCCAAGTTAATACAGATCCCATGAAGAGCCTTGTAAGTGCATGTCTATCCCACCTCTTTCCCAAGAGGCTTAGCTTTAGTCTAAGGGTGTCCTTATCCCAGTGCCTATGTAAGGGTAGTGAAAACGATTTTGTCTGGGCACAGGTTTTCAGCAATGTGTTTTTACTGCTGACCACCTTCCCTTTTATTAGCGCGCATAATAAAAACTGCGCAGTGGGCATCTTATAATTTTTTTTTTTTGCTGTTTCAGTCTGGACATTTAGATGTTGTTGTACCACCAGATATTATGAACCACCGAGAAAATAGCCAAGAAGAGGGAGTAAGCACAGAAGGCGGCAGCATATCACTAATATGCAGTGCGACCGGAGTTCCAGAACCAAAAGTACAGTGGCGACGTGAGGATGGAAAGGACATTATACTTCGAGCGGAAAACAGGGATAAACAAGGTCAATAACAAAAAATGTTTGATTCTTTCACGAATTCGTTCCTTATATTCTTATTTATAATTAAAGTTTCATTATATAATTTAAAGTTGAATTATAATATTATGAATAAAATTAATTGTATAAAAACCAAACTAGTAATCAAGTTATACTTGTTATCCCTATCCATGTTGCTTGGTGTAAAACAGTTGTGGGTTTGACTTTTAAATTTTTTTTGTCCTTTATTTTTAAATGATTTATAAATTTATTATTTATATTATTTTTTCATTATTATTATACATTTATTTTACAAACGCTTAAAACGAGCCTCTTTTCAAGACTTGCAATGAGTTACCGTATATAACATTAATTTGTATTTCTTAAATATAAAAGTCATTAATATTTATGTTTGTTTCTATTGAGGCTTAAAAACAACAAAAAAAAAAAAAACGATAATAAATTATTTTTGGGATATTATATAAAAAACATTAAAATGTATGTTTTTTTTTCTATCTTAGGATTAACAAAAAATATAAAAAGTCAAACGATTATAAATGATTTTTGGTTTTGTTGCTCAAAATAAAACTCGGCAGTAAATCACGGATGTCGTTTTAGACTTTTCACCAATACTATTTCATATTGCTCTATAGGAAATCTGATGATTTTCCTTACCGATTCATTTTTAAAATATATAAAGCTTAAGGTGGTACTCACATATGATAAATTTGCTTTCAAAAAGTACAGAGCGAAATTTCTATATATTTCGGTCCGGAACCGGTGTGACCAAATATGTAGTTTAAAGAAAAGGCGGAAAAATGGTGACACCGTCAAGTATGGCCAAGTGTTTTAGCTAAACAATTTTAATAACAAAGCCTTGAGCTTTACCTATTTCTGCCAGGGTACTGTGGAATCTCTCCAATTGGCCATTAGAGCTACTATGTAGCGGTGGCGCTTTAATGACGTCGATGCTGTATTGGTTTTCCAGCAAAGACGTAATTGTTTCACAGTTAAAGGAAGCCTCATTATCACAGTAGATGGTTCTAGTTTTATGGTAGAAATTTACCAATGTAGTATAGGGGCACGTACATCTACTATTGCCCTAGAAGATAAGGGCTGTGCGATGGCAAACTTCGATAACTTGTTAATGCAAGTTAGAAAGATCTTTTTGTTGGTAGAAAAAATGTCAATGTATAACATTTCTCCTGCGTATGTAGGAATTTGGGTGCTTCCCAACTCCTGCAGCTTAGGGTGGCGATCATACTTGCCTTTATTGCAGACTTTTCAATTCGCTACAACTTCGCTGGCCTTTTTCGAAATGTTTGGGAAATAGTAATCGCCGAGAATTTGTTTGGCGTTTTCCTGTGCAGCCCTGTGAGTGCGATTGTGTTTGGTATTCATAATTTTTAGCTGTTCATTGGTATTTGTATTGTCGCTTACAATGTTTTTTCAGTGCCAGAATTTGGTTGCAAGGAACTCCTGCCTCAAGGCATGTTGAACGCAAGCTAGTGTCGGAAAATCACAGTGAATCGCGTTTACAACGTTGGCGTTGCTGATCTCTTTAACGGATTCGACAAGGAAGTCTTTGTTATTAAAATGAATAATGTGGCGAGTTCTATTGCCAAAAATGATGGTCTCGCTGAAGCGGTTGGCTTTGCCTCTTCCAAAATGATTTGGTTTCTGAAGCAGTTAAGGGGCTTATCCGTAGTTTCGATGGTGTATACGAGCAAAAGCTCACTATGCACCGTGGCGGCATCGGACTGAGCCCTAACCTCAAGTTCTTTAAGTGTTGCCGAGACAGCGCATCGGCTACAAGGTTTTTTTTTCGCGGGCGTGTAAAACACTTTCCCGTTGTTTTCGTCAATAAAGGGCTTCCGTCGCTTAATCTTAACGTTTGGTGTTTTTCTCAGATATTGCGTAAGTCAGAGGCTGGTAGTCTGTGAAGGTCCAAGCATCCTGAGTGCCGTAAACGTAGTTCTGCAGTTTGCCTATTGCGTATTTGCCTTAAATATGGCTTAGTTTAGTTCGTAGTCTTTATGCGTACGAGAGATCATAGTAATTGTCCTCTTGTTTTGGGACAATACCGCACCTATTCCACTGGTTAAGGCGTCGGTGGTTAGGTCAAATGGTAACTTAAAATCAGGGTATGTCAATATGACATCCTCTGATGCCAAGATATTACAAAGGTGGTTAAATACGTTGCGTTGGGTTTCATCAAGCATATTAGGAACTTTTTTCGACATATTTTTACTGACAGTTTTTCCTTTTAAGAATGTGAGTTAGTGGCCAAGTAATAGCGGCCAAATTCTAAACAAAGCTTCAACATTATCAACAAAAACAAAAAGCCGCAACCACTTTTCAATGTCGAACTTGAGCCAGATAGTGAAACCCTAAAGAAGAATAAAGTTCACCCGATCTACAAGTTGCAGTTCAACAACAAAAACAACTGCACAAACACAACGGTCCTGTGCAATGCACAAATTGCCAGGAGTATTAACATACAAGGACATACTGCACCCTTCGGTCAGTCTGCGTAGTCTGTGGAGACTTCCACAGTTCCGCACACTGCCCTGCGAACAAAGAGTCCAATTTGAAAAAATGTGGAAACTGCGGAGGAAACCATACAGCTAACTACCGAGCTGAAGAGTCGAATGCGACGAGCGACAGCTACATGCCAACAAAATACACAAAATGTGTATTAAAATTCAAAAACTACTCCAGATGTATTTTTTTGCCAAAGCAGCCAGATCCTTTTTTGGTCCCCCACGAGCATCTCCTACGCCGAAGCTCTACGCCTTAATCTCAGTAAACGCTCAACAGACCCAAGGGCAGCCACAAAACGAAATTTTATTTTGGCTTTGCTAGGGCGAGAATCAAAGGGCTTTCAAATTCATTTTGGTTTTTGTGCATCACACTTTTAATTGGTCTTATGGTCGTGCCTGTTACCGCGTTGGTCGGCAATTTAGATGAGTGGATCGCTCCCTGACAATGACGGTTTTATAGTATCGTGTTTTTTTGTTATTAATAATTCATATTTTTTTATATTATTTTATTTATTACATTATTTAAAAAAGTTTTGAATCTTAAGAACTTTTTTTTAAACAAAAATGTTTCTTCGCTATGGGCTTATAAAATCAAAATATTTAAAATATATGTAATTATATTTTATTTATTCGATTTGTTTTTAATTTAAAACATTAATCTAACACAATAATTAAAGACATAAAACGAAAACAAATTCATACAACATGTAATATTTTAAAAACACCTATAAATACCCACATAAAATCTATTTGTCAAACATAACCTAGTAACACTAAAATGGAATACAAAAGTTTCTTCTAAAGAAAAAGAAACAAACAAAAAAAAAGACAAAAAATCTTATGTCTAACCAGGATTTAAGGATTTGAACCCATGCACTTCAGGGTGGCAGTCGGATGCCTTAGCCACTAGACCAACCGGCAACCAGGCCTTGCGGTGCCCAGATTCAAAGTAGAATTGAGCATTGCGGGTTCCACGGTGAAAATGCGGGTTCTACCGCTGGGACCCGCCGTACGACACATTTTTTTGTATGAGATGCCCGATCTATGGTATATAATTCTATACTCTTTGCTAGCAGTCATATAGACTGGGCCCTCAGCGACAAAGACAGAGTCGAAACTTTGGCCTCACATCTCCAGGGCGTTTTCCAGCCGAACCCTGCTGCAAATCCATTTGAACTACCGCAAATCCAAACTGAAACGGAATTTACTCCAGCATCATTTCGTCCGAACGAGATCACGAAGATCCTCAGGGAACTCAATCCGAAAAAGACTCCCGGCGATGACCTAATAACTCAAAAAATTATAATTGAACCTCCGAACTGTGCTATTGAGGTCATCTGTAAAATCTTCAATGGGATCATAAGGCTCGGCCACTACCCAATCAAATGGAAAAAATCTATAAATATAATGATACCGAAGCTCGGAAAAGACCACACGATTCCGTCATCTTAACGACCAATAAGTTTACTATCATGCTTGTCCAAGTTATTTCAAAAATGCCTTCTATCGCGCATAATTCCTTATCTCACAACATCATCCCAGCTCATCAATTTGGCTTCAGAGAAAAGCTTGGAACTATATAGCAAGTTAACAGAATAACATCAGAATTCGCACAGCCTTCGAGCATCGAGAATATTTCTCGATGTTTCTCATTTGTCTCAACGGCCACATGTACAAAATTAAAACACTTTTGCCGGTACACGCATAAATTAATTGAGTCGTATCTCTACAACAGAGTCTTCGCAGTGAGGTGCAACGCAACAACATCCGGCACCTATTCAATCGAAGTTGGAGTTCCACAAGGAAGCGCACTTGGGCCTACTCTATATGTCCTATACACAGCGGATATCTCCACAAGCGACCAGCTAGCATTATCCACTTTCGCCGACGACACTGCGAACCTCAGCCGTCCCAGATGCCCAGTGCGTGCAACAACCCAGCTCGCCAACCACCTCAAGGTAGTCGAGAAGTGGCTATCTGACTAGCGTATCAAAATAAATGAACAAAAACACGTAGATCCCCGAAGTCTACGTGGTTACGTACCTACATCCACAGCGATCTCAGCATTCTTGCAGTTAAGCACGAAATAGAAAAACAAAAAGCATCCTACAAGGAAAAACTCTCTGCCCATTCAAATCCTCTAGCAAGGGACTTGATTTGGGTTTCCAGCAGAAGCTGTCTACTACCAAAGAGTATAGAATTATATAGAGCGGACATCTCATACAAAAAAATGTGTCGTATGGAGGGTTCCAGCGGTAGAACCCGCATTTTCCCCATGGAACCCGCAAGGCTCGATTCTACTTTGAATCTGGGCACCGAGGCCTGCTTGCCGGTTGGTCTAGTGGCTAAGGCATCCGACTGTCACCCTAAAGTGCATGGGTTCAAATCCTGGTAACTCTTAAGATTTTTTGTCTTTTTTTTTGTTTGTTTCTTTATCTTTAGAAGAAACTTTTGTATTCCATTTTAGTGTTACCAGGTTATGTT